AACCATAGGGGAGAAGCTTCCGGGCTTCTGTTCAGAGAATCATGCTGGGAAGTAACTATTTTTTGCACATTCCAGGAGGCTGGAAGACCGACACGTGCAGGTATAGGAGACCTTGTCAGATCACAGTCTCACCGAGGTGTGTCAACAGGGGCCAAAAACTCTCACATTTCTGAAGGATGTCCCACTATAAAGGAGGTGAAGGAGGCTGGGACAGTCAGAGTGCCCTGGTCAGGCTATTGTGCAGAAAGGAGAGATTAAAAGCAGAAGACTGGGGTTGTACTGTGAGATGGTGCCAAAAAGCCCAGGAACATTTATCTGCTCCGTATGGAGCACTAAAACCCATCATTCAGGCGTTGTGCAGAGAAGGGGCTGGTGGTACAGATATGCTTGGGAAATGCTGTGCACCCCCTTTGCCCCCCCCCCACGCGACTAAAACAGGCAGCATCCGTCACATCCTCCATGGACAGCTTGCCTTCCCCTCTACACGCCTCCTGGGGGCTCACTTCCCTATATTGCAGCACTGCACAGGACTGGGACACCTTCGCTCTGACCTCCCCACCCCCCACGATTTTTACACCCCTCCCAGCCCACCCCTAATATCAGCAGAGGAAGGGGTGGGAGTTCAATTTCAGGGCCGGGCACAGAAGACGCGGCCAGGACGGAAGAGGCCTCCCAGAACTCTCCGGAAGGCAGAGAGGCTGGAGGCGGACTGGGCCCCCGTTTCTCCCGTCCACCAATGAAAGGTCTTGCGTATCAAGTTCAACAGAAAGTTCTGTTCACTGTACTTCTTTGTGGCGCTGGAATGCAGGCAGCCCATGAAAGTTCTGTACAGAAATGTGCCCCTTGTGTTTGTGCCAGGAATCCTAATGACAAGCAGGTTCACAGGGATACTTGATGTAATTACTCAATTATCCCGTAAATGCAGTGCATACCTGTGCAACTACAGCCAATCAGAGCTTGTTTTATAATTATTTTGGTTCACCTCCAAAGGAACATCTTCTAACTGAACTTGGGACCTAAGATTAATGGTTAAAAAGAAAATGGACACACAAACACCAGTCTTGTGTAGGGCCGGTTATAGCTCCTGAATACTAAAAGCACTGTTCAGCACCGTTTTCAGCCTGTGTCACCCTGGTGAGTAGCTTGACACAACAGCCTAATTCAGGGGTGGCCAATCTTATCCGCAAAGGGCCGGTGTGTACGCAGGTTTTTGGGATAAACCGTAGGTCAGCTGTTCAAACCCAGGTGTGAGGACTCTTTCAGCCAATCAGTCCTCTAATTAGTAATCTAATTAGGGAGTTGCAGTGAAAACCCGAATACACACCGGCCCTTTGCGGATAAGATTGGCCACCCCTGGCCTAATTGAAGGTTTCCATACACATATGCTGTACGACAGGCCCTATCTATTGAGAACGAACAGAGTTTATGTCTGCCCCACTACCGTGACCTTTTACCTTGCACGCAGACAGATGGGCTCGCACGCATCATTGAAACCCTGTGGCCCCCCTCTCTCCGTGAAGGGAGGTGCCCCACCCTCCCTTTCCAGCAGGTGGCGCCTCCAGTCACGCAGCTCTTCCGTCAGCCGTGGGCCGAGAAACGGCCCGACTGACCTTCACGAACTTCCCATTTCCACTGCGAACATCTGTCACATTTCCCCAGTGGCCACGCTGCCGGCTTTCTGCCCCAATACGGCTCTTCCTGTCCGGCCTGCGGTGGGGAGGGGTGGGGGCCCCTGGGGTGGCCCCGACATCAGGCCACAGCTTCCTGTCCAATCTGGCACATCCCAAGGCCCCTGCGCTGCCTGCGTGCAACATCATTCATAGCAGCTATTGGCTCACATTCAAACTCAAGTCTTTCCTACAGTTGGACATTGTTCTCCTGACTGGCACTTAAAGACAAGGCCTTCTGGTTATGAAAATGCCATTATTAAGTTCTCACTAAATCAGCAGAGGAATCAAACATCTACAAATTCTGTCTGCTGAGACTTACAGATTAGGGAAAAACTCAGAAGTTACATTTTTAACATCACAAGCTCATGACCCGGTATAAGCATTTAAAGATGTACACAAAAAAAACTTTTGAATTAAGCAGCACCTTTGCCCTGTCACACATCTCAGGACAGTCCTGCACTTTTCCACCAAATCATTTTTTTTAATGGAGTAGAAGAATCAGACAAACATGCTGTATAGGGAACAGCTGGTGTTCCACTGAAAGCTTGTTTCCCCCGACTAGCGAGTCTCTGGGAAATCGGGGCACAAAATAGTTTAAGAAAAGAGAAGTATTCTTCCAGAACAGCCCTCCCCTCCAGGAAACACAGAGCCGACTGCAGACAAAGTGCTCACACAGTGAACCCAATGAACCTGTCCGGCATGGAGCCTTCCAACACGGTTGCCATGGTTGGGGCTAAGCTCTCTTCCCAGTTCCCTGACCGCTGAGGTTCTTCAGGACGCTCCTCAAAGCATCCTCAAGAGTGACATTCAGAGAAACGTAACCAGCAGTTAACCCGTCTTTTGTTCACGTGGCATTTCAACACATCTCTGTATAACGGCGGGTCTAACCCAGAGCTGGAAAGCCAGCAACGATGCAGGTTTATTTTGGGTTTCATCCACTGTCCAGCTAAGGTGCATTAGGGCTAACAGTCCAGCTTGGACCAGGAGACACGCACACGGAGACTCTACCCTTTGTTGGCCCCTTTCAGAAGAAAAGTGCGGATTGTGGTTTCAGGAATATGCCAGTTTTTTTCCCCCCTGGTTACCACAAACACTCTATTGTTTCCCCCCCCCCCCAAATTAATCAGACCGGTGTCTGGATTCCGAACAGATTGGATTGCTTTCAATTCCTTCCGCTGCCAAAAGGAATGGGTCCATAAATGAAAGATGCGCCCAGGCGCAGGTCCGATAAGGACCCTCTCCGGACGCCCATGATGCAGGCCAAGCTGAATCAGCGGAATGATCTGCAATCAGTGGATGGCAGACAGCTTCTAACGGCCAGGGATCATCATATCCTTGCCGGTCGTGGTATAGGTCAGCAGATTAGGGCTCTGTCCAGAAGGTAATGGGTTTGAATCCTGCAGATAAGAGCAATATCACCAACTTGCTTTTGAATAAGGTCCTTAAGGCCAACTGCTACACGGGTGCTGGACTCTGGCCGACCCCAAAACCTGCTCTCATCTGTACATGCTGAACAATGAGTAAAGTCTGTTAAGTGTGTGTGTGTCACAACATACAATTTAGGGAGTTCTGATGTGTTTAATGGTGGTTATGGAACTAAGCTGATTATACAAACAAACCTGACTATGCATTAATTTAAAACGCTAATTTCCTAAACTTTGCATTTTTCTTACCTTCAAGGCTGTTCTCACTGTAAATTTGCAGTTGACCCCAGATATCTAAAGCAGAGTCCAGGTTAATTTGACAGTCGTCCCACAACTAAAAGACCCTTGAAGCACAGAATTGTACAGGCCCCCACCAGAGGGGAACGCACCTCTATTTGCAAGGTCTTACAGCATAAACAGGAACAAATCCTAGCTACTGTGACTTGCCTGTTAAGCAACAGATTATCCAACACAGGGCGATGGTAAATGCAGAGCCTATCCCAGCTGGCACAGGGTACAAAGCTGGGGTCTACCTGCGACGGGAAGCCAGTCCATCGCAGGTCACCTAGCCACATGCACACATTCACCAACTACAGCAAGATGTAAACCCTAACCTAGGTGGCAGTGGTGGCTTAAGGGTTAGGGAAGCGCACTCGTAATCGGAAGATTGCAGGTTCAAATCCCTGACCAGCAAGACACCACTGAGGTACCCTGAGCAAGGTACCGCCCCCAAGCACTGCTCCCCGGGCGCTGAATTAGCTGCCCCCTGCTATGTCACGAAAGTCACAAATGGGTTAAATGCAGAGGACACATTTCGTTGTTGTGCACTGGGTGCTGTGGTGTGTCAACAATAACAAATAAAACAACCACATGGTTTGAGAATAATGGTTCCCCCAAGAGAGAAAACACGATGATCAGACCATGGTGCTTACGCTCTGGCACTCAGATTGTCCAGTTAACCTTGACAGGAATACAATTAATATACCTTAACCATCGTGTTAGAGGCTCCACATCACCAGTAAGGGTTTAGCTACGTGCCATTATCCAAAATGCCCAGATTTCAAACCATTCCCATGATGCTCTACTGCAAGCTTAAGACTCAATATACATAATAATCAGGATTATAACCATATTTCAGAAAATGTCTTGCGTTAAAACTTTAGCTTCACAACCATCAAGGTGGCCGTATGCTTCAGACAAAATTGAAAGAATTGATCTCGTTTCAGTGATGTGTCATTGTAAGATTCGTAACCGTCACGGTGATCGCTGTTGAGGTGCATCGTCTGTTCAGGGTCCCCAAGGCGAACCTTTGTTCTGGTCACTCCCACTGTCTATGACTGGCTGATAAATGAAACTGCATGGGGCTGATCAGCCCGACTCATTATGCAGTTACCAGCATGCACTGGAACGCACTTTAGTGTAAATATGTATATTCATGTATTTCTGCTAATGGTAAATGTCAGTCATGTAATGTTTGTCAAGAAATGCGTGAATTTCGTTAGCATGTAAGAGAGTGTCATATAAATAGCTGTTTTCCCTCTCCGTGCTACTGCTGAGTATCAAAGCAATAGTGGCTGTTAATAGAGAGAACAGCTTCCATTTTAAGAGTGTTGTCATCTCCTTTATTAAAATGACACACTCGCCATGATAAGTTTATTAGCCCCGTTTGTGGGTCTGCTGCATCAAAAACATTCTGCGTGCTCAGGGATTGTGGCATGACATGGAATGAACAGGGTGGAAGTGTCGTTTTAAGTATGCAATAGCTTGTTCTCGCTGACAAGTTCGATTTCGTTTTGTCCAAACATCGTTTGAAGTGTATGGCCACCTTAAAGCAGTAATGAATGTTTTTTCAGGGCTGTAGGAATCATGCGGCATTCAAGCCTTAGAAAACTCGACCACACAGCAGTGTCATTTAGGGACATATAAAATAAATTTTATTATCCATTTTTTCTTATTAATTTCTACAGTGTAGTTGCTTTTCTAGACACGGTCATCAAAGATTGCACCTACATTTAACCCAGACACAGCCGCAACTTAAAACTTGGTGCGTCTGAATCGTATATATAATTATTGTATGGAAAAAAGGAACCTAATTTCTCCTCCTCGAATTCTCAACGTAAAAATGAAGCCCATCCCAGACTTCTGAGCACGGACGTGTGGGGGGAGAGGGATCAGTTCAGGGCTGTGCCCCAGTGGCTGCTGGGACTTGCGTGCCCAGAGAGTTTGGGGAGGAGATGACCGGCGAGCCAGCAATACTCCCCATTGGCTGTGCTGAGGACATCGACGTGATACCTGTGAGAAGACACACAGCAAGACAACACTTGGGTTAGGTCTCTGGTTCTGCCAGGCCACACCCCTTTCAGAAAGCCAAACTTGATTGGCTGAGAGAGACCAGGCACAAAAAGTATTTGTTAGACTGTTTATAGGCTGACAGTGACAAAAAGCCTTCAGATGAGATGTGAGACATGAAGGGAGGTGTGGGAAGCAGCCGGGAAAAGAGCACTTACCCGCCATCATGCTGGAGGAGCTGACAGGGGTGTTCCCCGTGGAGATTCCAGACGTGGAGCCCATTCTCACCTGGTCCTTCACGACAGGATCTGGCGGAAGACGAAGAGAGACAACCGCACGCTGATGGGTGCTGGTTCGAAGCGCGACCCGTCCCATCGGGAAGATCCTCAGGCTCACCGACCCGGTTCCCATGGAAACCCCACGTGGCAGTGGGCAAAATGACACTGCGGCCAGTCCTTATGGCACCGCCTACTCAGGGCCCGGAGAATCGTGGGCCGGTGAAGCTTATGAGACTCCCTATGGTAACATGGACGCTCGATAGCACGGGGTGAAGCGTTTACGCTATAAAGCCCAATCGAACCCACCAGCTGGGCCGCTGTAGGCGTTCTTGGAAGAGGCCGCAGGCCGTAAAAAGGGTACACAGTGTGCTGGACGAGGGAAAGTGCTGCTGAAACTTCTCTACAGTCTGTCGTATTTATATGCTCTGCCTTGAGATGTGAAATGGGCCAGAGCGACGGCTCACTGGTTCTGTAGGTCCAGCAGGACTGCCAGTGTCACACGGCTGATGGACAGCAGATGAGCGTTTCATCAGGGGGACTGATGCGACTTGGGGGTTCAGGGCAATAAAATCTGACCGGAGAAATCCACCAGTTTTAAATCAATGCTACTTACGTCACTGTAGTGAAACTCCCTTACTGAGCAAACAGGCACGTTCACGGGATCCCGTCCACAGTTAACGTTGTCCACATGGCGCGCCGTCTAGCTTAGCCTAGCCCAAACATGCGTTATGTGACCCCGACACGTAGACGCAGAGTGGCAGAGGCACACGGGCACAGACTCACAGAAGTAGGGGTGCTCCATGGCCTCCCGGGCCGTGAGCCGGGCCTGGTGGTCGTATCGCAGCAGCTTGTCCAGGAAGTCAAGAGCCTCGGTGCTGACCAGGTGCTGGTTCTCGCTGTGCACGAACCTCTCCCACCTCTTGCGGGAATGTCTGCCAGCAAAGGGCAGCAGTCAAACAGCTATAGAGAACCTCGCCCCCCCCCCCCCCCCGAGAAGCCTCGGCCTCGATGCAGACCCCCCCACCACCCACAGGACTTGCATTTTTTGGATCTCTGAAATGCAACATACCTGCCCAAGATGTCATTGAACCGAGGGTCCAGCTCTATGTTGTATTTGTCAATGTAGTCATACAAGTCCTCCGTGCCCAACACTTTAGCAATGCGGACGAGCTGGCGAAGACAGCATAGAGACACTGATCATGCAACAGCACAATGACCCTCAACTGACAAGAAACCAGTGAATGGACTGAAAGTCTAGTGCGGATTACTGGTCCTCTCAGTACATAATAATATGAAGGACAGCTGTTGACTGGAATCAGCATAGGATGTTATGCCAAAATGAGCCAGGTGTCCACTGACACTGGGTCAGTCGGTCACAGAACGGTAACCCTTGTAGATAGGACAGTACGTGGCGAGTTCCTCACCTGATCGTAGTTGTCATGCCCATGGAAGAAGGGCTCCTTCCGGAAGATCATACTGGCCAACATGCATCCTAAACTCCACATGTCTAAACTGTAGTCATACATCTAACAAATAAGGGAGAAAGGTGTTTAACTCAGCCAATAAGAAACACCAGCTACAGATCTCAAGCTGGCATCCCGCTCAGCTGGTGGCGGCTACACAGGAAGAGCTGCCCACCTGGTAATCTACCAGCAGCTCTGGGCCTTTGAAGTACCGTGAAGCCACTCTGACGTTGTACTCCTGACTCGGGTGGTAGAATTCTGCCAAGCCCCAGTCTATCAGGCGGAGCTGCAAGGGGAACGGGGAGTACGTCAGTTGGATCCATCACTAAGGAAAGCGCTGCATCACACACGTAAAGACTGCGCATCCAACACTGACAGACACCTGGCACAGCTGCTCACAGCCCATTTTCATTAACTGTATCCTGTTAGACATGGGAAAATTCTCAGAGTAGACCGTAGTGAGGAACCTTAATTGCCTGAACTTTAGACCACCAAGTACTATGGTATTGAAGGACTGGAACTCTTACTAAAAACTTAGTGAAAGCACACTAAGTACCCTGTAGGATGCACTAAGACCAAATGTTTCAGGTCACAAAGCCAGCTGTATAAATAAGTAGAAACGCTCTGGATAAAATCATGGGCTTAAGTAAATAAGGCAGGTATTTTGTACAGGAATTTACCAACATGGCGTCCTTCAGGTTAAGCATTACCTTACTTCAGTCAACAAAAATGACTGGGATAATAACAGACGCAGCCTTTGAGTGTAATAAACAGCAAAAAAAAGGAAACACTCATTTCTTATTAATGACACACAGAGGGGTAGGCCTTAGTTTAATGCATTAATGTGTTATTGCTTGGACTAAACATTTTGAAAAATTAGCAAACCAAAATCATTCTCTATTGAACTTGTCTTACCTCAGAAGGGAACATGCTTTACCTAATTAGCTGAATAAAAGATTGAAATTAGACCTGAGTTAGAATTACTTTGTTCCCTGTGTAGGTAAGACCCCCCCCCATCCACCCCCCACTGCTGGCGTTCAACCGCAAAGAGACCACAAAACAAGGCCTTCCCATAATTCAGCCCATACATCCACATTCACGCAAGCCCTGAAAGGCCTGGGGGGAAACGCACCTTTCTGTGTTCGTGGTCGATCATCACGTTATGCGGTTTCACATCTCGGTGCATTATTCCCATGCTGTGACAGTAGTCCAGCGCCTGGGGGGGGGGGGGGGCAGGGGGGACAAGACAGTCAGAACCAGGCTGATGAAGCTGCTCTGCATCACAACCAGCCTGATATACAGAATCAGCACTGAAAGCGAGGCGACCATTCAATAAACCTTAGGCAAAATACAGCGGACATATTTATGATGGTCAAATTACTTCACGTTCGCTAAGTCAAACATCTACATGCACAGACCTCAACATCACTCTGGCAAAGCTGCACCTAAAGCAGTGATGAACACAAACATTCCCCACATCATCCAGTTATCATCACATAACCAAAGGCAGAATCACTGAATCAGCTTGCAGCCCGGATTACATCCAGCTCCGGTATATCTTCAGGCATATGAAGCCATTCAACCTACACAAGCTGACTAAAATACGACTCGAGCTAGATCCAAAATAACTTTCAGGAGGGACAGGGGAAAAAATCTGGCGCTGAGTACGGCCAGCAGATCTTCAGAACCGCATATAAAAACTGCACTAGGCTCATCTGACATTTCACGGCAGTCCGATCTTTCTCACTCTCAGTTATTCACGGACAGGCCGTTTAGGGCAGCTTCCCGTTTTACGGACACTCCAGATCAAGCCACATTCGGGGGGGGGGCTCCCTCGAGCAGGGAAATGGAGCCTGCAAGCCCAATCTCATCAAGGGGAGAAAGATTTACCTCAAGAAAAGCCAAGCAGAAAGAAACAGAGTCCTTACCTTCAAGATTTCATACATGTAGAACCGGATGTCATAGTCTGATAGCGTTTGATACAGTTGCTGTAAAAAGGGGGGGGGGGGGGGGGGCAGTCTTTGAGTGAGTCTTTTCCTTCTATGAGGCGAACTACCATGATTAGTGCTGGCGCTGACAGCTTCAATGGGCTAACATTAGAATTAGAAAGAGAGAGAACATAACAAGCCAGGACAAGCTCAAATTCTCACCTTAAAGTCTGTGTTGTTTACATGTTCAAAAACCAGGGCTGGTGTCCGAGACTGAGGAGATTGAGAGAGAGAGACACACACACACACACACACACAAAGCAGTGAGTGTCATATATTCTGCAGTGCAAACAGAAAGACGAGGAACAACTGTCAAGAACTGACCACGGGATCCTTCACGATGTCTAGAAGTGTGATGATGTTTGGGCCTCCTCTCAAGTTCTCCAGAATCTTAATTTCTCGCTTGATTTTCTTCTTTTTTACTGGCTGCGAGCAAAGAAACGGAAGGAAGGTTAAATGGAGCCGTGCTGGACGAATACCATGAGCAGCTGATGTCACCATTCAGTCAACCGGTGACGTTTCAGGAAAGCATGCCAATCAGCATTGTGAGTTTAACCATATAAAGGCAGATAATTTCATGTACTAGAGCAAATTTACATACTATTAGCATAGGTTTATCTGAAAAGGACAAGCCAGCGAAAACCAGAAGGCAGAAGCACCTTGCAGATGTCATTTTGGTTTAATGTGAACAGAACGTTAAGAAGGTCCTACTACAATAGGACCAATGGGATTTACCAACTATATGGCAATATGCATTTGTGTAACTTTCCCCAGATGGCACAAGCTCATAAAAATCAGATCCATCTGTGATATTTATAAAAATCCCATCTTCTTAAGAGGTCAAACTTAAACTCCAGTACCACTAATATAGAAGGTCTGAGAGATACAACCTGTCTGTCTTTATTTTGGGACAAATGGCACAACAACACTGGCATTCTGGCTCAGTTGTGTGAGAGGACCCTTCCCTCAGGAGTGCGACCATACCTTGAGTATTTTGACGACTACTTTCTCGTTGTTCGTGATGTTTATGGCTTCAAACACTTCACTGTATTTCCCTCTGCCCAGTTTTCGCACCAGTTGGTAATCATCTTGATTCCTGAATCACAAAAAAGGTAACGGAGGTGTCACATACCACATATGTCTGATGACATGTGTGATCTGACAAAAGAACCACAAACGGCTGCAAGCCAAGTGAGTTAAAAGTATAAATGTAATTTGGAAATTGTCTACGTGGAGCTAAATTATAGCTGTTCTTGCTAAAATTAAGCAAGTAACCCAGGTAAAGCACAGAGACACTCCACTGAGGCTGGTTTCATAAGAAATCGAAGGGAAACTAAGGTAATGTGGGCAAATTGTCGGGCAGCTTGTTGGACACCAGCAGATACATTCAGAGTCCCTGGGAATGCTCACCCCCACTCGACAACATGTGACTCGTAGTCCCAGTACTCTCGGGGCCTCTGTGTGTTCACATCTGGATAAACTCGGGATCGGCTCGTGACCGGACCCGACATGTTCCAAAGGTAAACGGGTGGCTCTTGAGATTACCTGGAAACAAGATGGGAAAACATGAAAGCCATCCACCTGCCAGAACATGTCTGACTGCAGGGTTTCTCCTTGAGCAGCCAGCGAGGCATTGCGGCGCAATCTGAACAAAGTCCCATTAGTGCAACGCCACCCTCCCTCAAACTCAGTGAAAGCTCGGTGGCCTTTCCCACAGGGGTCCTCTGTCAATCATGAGTTTCATACGGCTGAAACCCAAGAAACTTGACCTTCTCAGGACCACCAGTGAGAAGACCAGCTCAGGCCTGCACGCTTGGTGAATGAATACATCTAAATCCCATTTCAATCCAACTTAAAACACAAAATTAAGAACATACATAAATCTGTAACAACCAGATACTTTTTGGTGTTTTGCTAAATGCATTCACAATTCCAGGCTTCGGCATAATAGGCTAGTATCATGAGCAGCGTACCTTACATCAAAGGTTCTGAGGATCAAAGTACCAGATTTCTGCAAATCCTACTACCAGTCACCCCAGAAGCCACGCTGACCACTGAACAGAAAGGGGGTCAGATTTGTGGATGCCGCCCGAAACTGAGGGCCTCGTCTACCTGAAACACCTCTCCTTACCTTGGACAGGGCTTTTGGGGCTTTAAATGATTGCTCTGGGGTGTGGGCAGGACGTGCTGGAGCTGTAGGGAGAGTGAAGCACATTATCACTCAAAGCCATTTTACAATGAGAGGGATTACGCATGTGACAAAGTCCCCTTGTCACAGAAACGCCGCATCTCGCCATCATTTCCTCCACACCTCCTTCAGCTGTACTTTGGAAACAAACATCAATTGACCCATCCGCTTACACGTTATGGTTCACCACACCTCAGACGACGACGAATGACAGGTCAGAACATAACACCTGTCTGACGGAGATCAATGCCTTCAGGACCGTATTTGGTGTAGCTATAGAATTACTAGACTGTACAGGTCTTTCATTCAAAAGCTTCATCTGGTAATTCTATAGCTGTGAGCGAAATCTCACTGAGCGCACACTACAAGTTACAAAGCTGGAGTGGTCGACGGAAACCTAATATTACATTATAGTGGTGTGTGTGTGTGTGTGTGTGTGTGTGTGTGGGGGGGGGTTGTTCTAAATCTTGATTGACAGTCAATATATACATCTATTTGAAACATTTTTCCCCAAATAATGTTTTCACACCCATGACAGAATACCTAAATATTTATGGAAGCATTTAAAAAAATAAAAGTGCACAGAACATTTCAGGGTGAACTAGTTTAATACATTCGATCCCCCCCCCCCCACACACACACACACACACTCTGAAAAAAGCACATGCCTTCCCATCTCTAAGGGTACATCATGTTCTCAATCATGATACCTTAAAAATTATACATTTTACATGTGAATTACCCAAACCAGGCAGCCAAATGTAAAATTGTATTTATACACGGAGCACATGTCTCTAAAAGCCTGAAATAGGACCATGCTTCAATGTACACTATTACTCATCAGCGGTGGAGGAGTAAAACACTACCATTTTCATACAAACTTGGTGAGATGACAATAACTGAAATCGACCCAAGTGTAATTCAGTAATGAGCTGAAACAGCGACCAACCTAATAAGTGATTCATCAGGAGAATGAGCGGAACTAGTAAATATGCACGGCTTATTTCAAGACATGAAAGCGACACTTTTTTTTTAAGTGGGTCCGAGTAAGCCAACTTTCAACATCGTCTTCAACCACTGATCACAGATGCTATGCAGGAAGCCCAATTTTCAATACAAGGAAATTGCCGCAATATTGTCTAAGAACATGATCAATAAGGACTGTGCACAGCACAGGAGCCAGCTCAGAGGTAGGGCTGCACAATATCCCATTGCAATATGACCGTAATATGTGCGCATGCGCAATTGTCACCAGGGCTATACGAAATGGGCTTAAGAATTCAGATGCTGGCTTTTTGGTGTTATACGGATGTTTACTTACATGCACAATTTGATTAGCAGATTAGGAGTACGCATAAAATATTAATCAGAGGCGCATTGTGTTGTCCAAATGTTAGCAATCTGCAAATGTGGCAGATCCTTACAGTTAGAAGCACGATGATAGATGATAGTGTTTTCATATATCATAGAAACCATATCTTTTTAACAGAGGAGATACTGTGGATAAACAATGTAAAAATGTTGGTGGTGTGATGGTACTTTTTGCATTTTAAAATATGACATTTATTAGACATAAGGATATACACATCACTAACTTTTGGGCATCATGAAACTCCTCTAATATTTTGGGTGTACCATTAATCTGCTTATCAAATTGTGGACGGAAGCAAATGCCCATACAGTACCAAAAAGCTGGTTTCCGGACAAATTTTTACAGCTATTATCTAAAGGCCTGGTGATTATTCTGCATGCGCCATATAAGCATGATGCGATATCATGCAGGACTACTCAGAGGATATGAATTATGTACTGGACAAATAAACAGGCAGCCCCATGAAACCACGGACACTCAAGAGGCTCATTTGTAATAAACTAAATTTGGTTAGACTGATAATTCTAACTATAAACACAAGCAGAGACAGCAATGTGTTCAGCTGGACACAGCACAGACCCAGGAGAGCATCAAACACTGGAACATGGGTGTATTTGGCAGGTATAGGGTTGCAAAGGGCTGGAAAATTTCTGGAAATTTTCCTGAAACTTTCC